GACGCTCATGGGGGTGGGGGCGGGGTTTTGAGCAGACAGTGGCCTCCTCCCGCCAGGAACATTTCTAGGAACGAGTGACTCAACCCAGAAATCACAGGGCAGTGTCCTCTCTCCTCTGGGGTCACAGGCGGGCCTCCCAGCCTCGCCCAGGAAGGCGCAGTCCTGGATGTGGACATGGTGGGGGTGGAGACGCCTCTCCAGGAGCCTGCCGGCTGTGGCTCCGCCCTCCCGGGCTCCCTCCTGTCTCTGGCCGTCATCGTCACCGGAAGGAGTTTGTCTTCACTTTGTATTGGCATTGTCAACAGAAAAAAAGACCAAACTCTGTACAATAATTTTAAAGAGATTTACTCTGAACCAAATTTGAGGACCATGACCCGGAGCCACGCCCAAGAGGCCTTGAGCAAGTGGACTCGCTGAGGTTGGGTTACAGTTTGGTTTTATACATTTCAAGGAGACGGGGCTTAAAAGTAAAGTCATAAATCAACACGTGGAAGGCATACATTGGTTTGGCCCAAAAAGGTGGGCCATCTTGAAGAGGGGGCTTACAGGTTATAGGTGGGTTTAAAGATTCTTTGGCCTGTAATTGGTTAAAGACATGAAGCTTTGTCTAAAGACTTGCAATGTTTCAACATAAAGAGCTGTTTATCAGAGACAAGCCACGGGACATAGATTTGTTGTGTAAATTGAGGACCTGCAGGTGTGTCTTGCATACCCTTAGGCCTGTTAATGGGTTACGAAGGATGTCACCAAGAAGGGAGGGGGGCATGATGAGGCATGTCTGACCTCCTTCCTCCTGGCAGACAATTTAGTTTTAGGATATTCCTTTGGCCACAAGGGGGTCCATTTAGTCAGCTGGTGGGGGGGTGAGCCTTAAAATTTTATTTTAGTTTACAGCATCCACGCATCACACTCACTTTCTGAAAGTGCCCAGGTGGGAGCGTTCCCTCCTGTGGAAGGCAAATTCAGGCAGCTGCCTCCCACCATGGAAACCAAGGGCTGGGTCATCACCTCTGCTCCCAGAACAGCCCGGGGCATGTGACCCAAACTGGGACAAGCGGATTTTGCTGAACTTGCCATTAAAATAAATGTGCAAACCATAGGAGGCTTTGACTTCTTTAGAAAAATGGTCGTATGGAATTTGGCCTACAGGTTTACGTGGGCAAACACTTCCATATATATACAGTTTGTCACTTAACAGCAGGGATAGTTCTGAGGAATGCAACACCAGGCAAACATCCCAGGTGCGCTCACGCACACCTCGACGGCACAGCCTGTGTGGTGCAGCCTGTCGCTCCTGGCCCACACGCCTGTGCAGCATGTGACTGCTGAACCCCGGGGGCCACTGTGACACATGGATGCATTTGTGTGTCTAAACATAGCAAAGATCCGGAACACGTGGTATTACGGCCCCAGGGGCCCACCATCAAGCAGGCGGTGCGGCGCTGGCCCCGGCATTGCGCACACAGCCGTATGTGCTGCGTGACTATTTCGTACTCCTGTGCTTTCAGGCTTAGGCCCTTTCAGTTCCTTACCCTTGACCGGTTAGGCAGGGAGTGAGTGGACTCTGTATTGCAGGTAAGTATGACCAAGTGTACATTTTCCCACGTAACTCGAGCTGGAAAGGCAGGCACAGGATTTTGATGTCTCAGTGGACAATGTGTTCGTATTTATTTTTGTTTTTCAAAATTATGGCGAAATAGACATTACATAGAATTTACCATCTGCACCACGTGCAGGTGCACGGCCGGGGCACCGAGCACGCCCACGGTGCTGTGCGGTCAGCACCGTCTGCCTCCACTTCATCCCCTGCTCAAACCTGACCCTGTCGGCATAGACGCTGAGTCCCCACCCCACCCGGCTGTGGCCGTCACATGGCTGTCGCTGTGACACGGCTGTGGCCATGCCGCTGACCCTCCGGAGCCCTCGCGCGAGGGAATCGCGCAGGACATGTCCTGCTGTCTCTTGCCCGCGGTGTAGCGTCCTCGCGGTTCACGCGGCGCAGCGGGGAGACCTTCTGCCTCCCTGCGAGACACCCGCCGGGCGGGGCGTGGGGACCAGCAATGGCGGCGCGTCCCTTCCAGGGCTCACTTACGGCAGAGTTCCCATCGTTTGTTAACTGTGTGTTTCATTTTTTGAGGACCTGCGGCGCTGCTTTGCACGGTGGCCGCACGAATGACATGCCCACCCGGCTTCTCCGCACGCTCGCCAGCGCCTGCTGCCAGCGGTGTCACCGGGACCCGCGCTTCCCGCCACCCCCGCTAGCCCCGCCCACAGCTGTCCCC